GTTCTTTGCCTGACAGCTTTGGGGAGGGTTAACTGGGGGGAGCTGGGGCTGGACCCCACTGTGTGTGGGTGTCACCCTGCCCTCCTAAAGCCTGTGTACCCCAAAACAGCCCCCCTCAGCAGGCTACCACAGCCCCACCCCCTACCAGGACCCATCTGGCCCCAGGGCAGGGGCTGGCTGGCTCCTGGGGGCAGGGAACGGGGCCTGAGGCCCGGCCCAGCCCCACTCCCGCAGCGCTGCACCTATCCCAGCGCCCGGTGTCGGAGGCAGCCTGGCCACAATCAGGGGCCACCGGGCACCCCCAGGGCAGCAGCAGGGAGGCCGAGGGCTGGACGCTGCCCTCGGAGCACCTCCCCTCGGGGGGACGATGATCACAAGTAGCCCCCCTCCCCCCCGCGCCCCGCAGCCGCTGCTCCAGATTTACCTTGCTCCTTACCTGCTCCGCTTCTTCCTTGCTCATGGCCAGCGCCAGCTGCAGCTGCAGCTCCTCCTCACCGCTGCTCTGGGGCCAGGCCTGCTCTGCCTCCGTCGGGGCGCTGGCGGCCGAGGCCGATGAGGCTGCAGGGAAGAAAGACACGATGCAGCCCCTTGGGGGTGGGCAGGGGCTGGGGACACGGAGCCTCCCCCGCCTGGCACCGGGACAGCCCCTCGGGGGGTGGGGGAGGGCTGGGTACACGAGGACCCCGCACCCGGCCCTGGCACATGGCCTCTCTGGGGTGGGCAGAGGCTGGGTACAAGGGGACCTCCCGGGCACGGGACACCAGTGATTCTGCAGCAGCCCGGCCCGGCCTGACAGGACAGGAGGGGGACGCAGTGGGGTGCGGGGCCAGGCTCCGCTGTGGTCGCCCAGGCCTTGGGGCTCTATTTTTCTCCTCAGAGAACGGAGCAGGGAGGCAGCCCGGGGCCAGGCCGCATCCCACTCGGCCCCTTCTAGCAGCACGGAGCACCCTGGCGAGCGCCTCCCGCAGGCTCCCTGGGGCTCCTGCCCCGCCAGACGCCACCCGCC